TTTTTTTTTTAAACTGCAACAAAAACTATGTTGTTTATGTATTTAAGAAATTATGGTGAAAGGAAGTAAGCTAATGGAACTTTGAAAACTAACAGTACAAGGGATATCATAAAGAAGAAATTAAAATGAATGGTACTGAGACATAGAATATGGAAATATTCTTTATGTCTGTCAAAAATCTGTGTTGATAAAGGTTCCTGTCTCTACATATCCATTAGAAGTACACAACAAAGAGCAGGGCAAAAACATAACAGCCGAGAATCAAATACTTAAAATGAAAGTTAATTGTGGTCCCTGTTCCTGCTTACTCTCTAGGTTCAAAATAGCAAATGAAAACAGCTGGTGTTTACTTTTAAAATATAGTTTGTTTTAAGTTATATAATCTGCCAAAATTTAGGATGCAGAAATACAGGCCCCATACAACTTTCACCCAACTGGATAGCTTGAATGTGACCAGAAGACTGCAAGAAATTACTGGAATGGTCCCCCTAAAAACTACGTTGATCCAGTGCCCTTTTACAGATAATCTCTTTCATGGAATTGCATTCATAAATGGTATTTCCCTGTAAGCTGCTCTTGTGTTTGATTTAAAAAACTATCTGGACTCTATAAATAAAATATGAGTTTTGTGGATCCATAGAAATTCAAAATCTTCACTAAAAATGTAAGCAGGACTAGTACCTGAAATTGTTTTTAATTAGATGCTGCTTCAACTATTCAGCAACAACTTACTGGAGCTAAATTAAAAGTGCTTCTGTTTCTAGTTCCTGTAATAGTCTCAAGGCTTTTGATTTTTCATCTTCATACAGGAGGTTTAAGGATGCTTTTTAGTTTCTGTTACGGAGTAAGGATAAACATGCTTGAACAATAGTTCAGGACCATTCTGTGTAATTTCTTTTACATATACTGGAGAAGGAATAAATAGTTCTTCTGAGTCCTTTGCTCTCATGTTCAAAACTCAAGCTAATCTTTGGTTAATCTTTTGTTTGCACATAGTTTTAGCAAAATGTACTCACATCTCAGATTTTTTGGGTTTTTTTGGTTTTGTTTGTTTGGGTTTTTTTTTGTTTTGTTTTGTTTTGTTTTTTGTTAAATGATGGAAATCTATGACAACCGAGACAAGTCCTGGATTTCCAGATCTGGCACGACAGTTAGAGTGACACTAATAAAAACTATCATCTTTCATCAGCTATTGGCTAATGATTTATAAAAATTTGATCAGGGTGTTCTCTTTGATTAAAGTTGCTCTCCTTTGTTGTAAGATAATAGTTTGGTCTTGACAGCCCTTTCCAGGATGTATTGCTGCTTAGGAAAAACTGCTGCAGCTGCCATATGAGTGACTCAAGCAGACTGGGAACAGAGCAAACTGCTTACAGGCAGCTTCTGAAATGTAGAAATACACACACACAGACACACACGCATACACAAAGTATAATT